CTTTTCTTTTTTTCTTAAATCATATTGCATATAAGGAAAAAACTAGATTTTAGTGGAATTTTCAACCTTGCTAAAAAAATATAAATGACAATTTAATTTTTATTTAGCTAATTCATATAGCTCATGAAAGAGCTAGCTCTCCCATAAATTATTTCTTACATATGTTAATTTAGTATTAACATAGTAGTTATTTTTTAAAGTAGAAATAATATTTATTTTATTTTTAAAATTTACTTTTTACATCAACACATTAAAATATTTATAAATAGAAGAAAATTAATTTAAAATAATAATAAAAATTTAGAATTACTTTTAAAATACAATAACAAACCAACTCTTAATTAGTTTTGAACCATGGCAAGAAATGAATCCATCACTAGGATAACGAATAATTTTAGAATTGATATTTTTGTCAGATTAGTGGAGTTGACTAAGAAAAAGAATGTAATATTTTTGTTTTGTTCTTAAGATTTCTTCCATGACGTGAGGAGAGAATCTTCCAAAAGGTATGTGGTGAGAAATTTCTCAATTAACTGATGCAGGTAGGTCCAAGATCATCAAAGGATAGAGAGAGATTTCCACCAAACAATGTACTGCTAATGTTAGCAGGGGCAGGGTTGCTGTGGATGGGATGGGCTGGCTTCAACGGCGGAGATCCATACACTGCCAATATTGACTCTTCCATGGCCGTTCTTAACACTAACATTTGCGCAGCAACTAGTCTTCTTGTATGGACCTGGCTAGATGTCATTTTCTTCAAGAAACCTTCTGTCATCGGTGCTGTTCAGGGCATGATAACTGGCCTTGTTTGCATTACCCCTGGCGCAGGTAATTTCGACTCCCCTCGCCGTGTTGTGTTTGCTCTCGATCCAATCACCATGCATGTATTTTCACTATTGAGATTTTTACTGGACTTGGAGTTAGAATTAAGCATTTAATAATCTTTTTCTTGAAAAATCAAATTACCTAAAACATTAAATTAAATAGTGTGGGTGTTTTGATGTGGTTCAATACTCAATAAAATACATCTTCGCCAGCAATAAAATTATCCTTGTATCCTTTCATCAAAAAAAAAATTAAGCTTCTCCGGTGGAGTGATGATTTTTTTTTTTCACGATAAAAATATTATTTTATTTAAAAAATAAACAAAATATAAAACTATTTACTAAGAGTTTTCTTAACTTAGCACAAGTTTCTTAACAATAAAAATATATATTTGTTCCTAGAGTTAAAAAAAAATATTATGTTATTGGATAAAATTATTTTGGGATTTTCAAATTTAAATATACAATACAATTACATTTTTAACATTGGAAGAGATAAAACATAAACTTAGCATTTGAGGGTATTTTGTACCTTCACATAGATATTTTATGTAATTATCGAGATCACGGGGGCATTACAATATTTTTATATTTTTTTAAATTTTATAATGCTTAAAGCTCCTGAAATATACTCGACACGCCTCGATACGCGGGTGGCATTCGCACCATTCAGACAACACGTGTGACACTACCTAGTGAATGTAACTAGCCTTTTGCCATCTCTCTAAAACGTAACATATGTTATTGTCACCAGTGGTTATTTGATTTTTTTTCTCTTTCTCCCTTCTGACATGTAATGTAGTTCATTATCCTTTTTTTTTTATTTTTTTATTTCAGTTCTCATTCTATTAATTTTTTATTTCATTCCTTTTTCATTTATAGAAGTTTATATTCTTTTCAATTTAGTCATTTAATTGCAATTTCTCGTATATTTTGTTTCAATTCCAGTCCTTATTTTTAAAAAATTTCTAATTTTGTTATTGATACTTTTGTTGAAGTTCTTTTTCTTTGAATTCCATCATTTAATTAAATTTTTTTTGTTTTAATTTCATCAATTTGACCCTTATTCTTTTGGTTTTTTTTTAATTTTATTAAAGCTATTTTTCAATTCAATTAAACGCTTCAATTGAAAATTTTTATCCTTCTAATTAATGTTTTTTCTCACCCTCCTTTTTTTTGGATCCTTTTATGTAATTATTTTTTTCATGGTTTTATTTTTTCATATTTAATTTATTGAAAATTCAACTTTATACGATCTTATTGTTCAGTATTAGTTTTTTTTTAATATTGATTTTTTGATTATCTTCAAGTTTTTTCTATGGATTTACCCGGTCTCATGATCTAGATTATGATTTTTACATGTATTTTTTAATATAAAATTTTTTTAGGTGTTTTGTTTCTATTTTATTTTTTAAAATTTTATTCTAATTCATCTATAATTTTTTTTACAAATGAAGTTTATTTTTTAAAATAAAAAATATTCATTTTTAAATTATATTGGTAATGTGTTTGACATTGCATAATATTTTTATATCTTAGATTTATTTAATCAATTTCATTTATGTTTATCTTTTTATTCATGAACTTTTTAGGGTGTGGATTTATCTTTAGTTATTTAAATAAACAAGTTCAATAAACACAATTAAATGCATGTCTAATTTTATGTTATAGAATATCTTAATCTTACTTAATTAGAATTTTCAATTTACACTTTGAATTTTATATATATAAAAAAATGTATTAAAGCAACTTGAATGTGTAATTTTTTTTAATCCATAGTAAAACATGTGTTAAATGAGTAGTTCTCAGTACCTAGTATCAGTTGACTTTTCCATCTTTGTTCCTTGCTTGTTCATAAATTATTTAACTTATAGAATTATTTCATAAGTTCTAATTTGTTCGTTCATAACTTTCATTCATTGGCATTGGAAGGAAACATGAAAAAGGAAGAGCCAGCTCAAGGATTAATTTAGTTTAATAGACTTCAAAATAAAAGATTAGGGAGGAAATATTGTTCACGTGGGATCCAACCATGTAGAACGATATTTTGGTAAAGAAAGTAGAAGAGAAAATCATTTACCTAAAGCTTATGTTTCAATATAAATTTGATGAGGTCCAACTTAGGATAATCCAACTTATTGAAGGCAAAGCTACTAAAATTGCATTTTTTTAAAGTGAGTATTTTTTAAAATATTTTTTCTTTAAAAATATATTAAAATAATTTTTTATTTTTTAAAATTTATTTTGATTTTTGACATAACATATCAAAATAATGTAAAAATATTAAAAAAATATTAATTTAAAATAAAAAAATTTCAAAAATATTTTTGAAATACAAAAACAAATGAGTTGTTGTGTACAAGATTTGAAGATGAAAATAGTCATTTAGAGATACATGGTATTTGAAGTTTAAAAGTTTCTTAAATATTTTTTACAATGAGATGTAGAATATTTTTAAAAAATATTTTTTAATTAAAAATATATCAAAATAATATTTTTTTTATTTTTAACAATAATATATCAAAATAATAAAAAATATTAAAAATTCAATTTAATATTATTTTAAATAAAAAAATATTTTAAAAATATTTTAAAAAATAAAAACTATCGTAGAGTGTCCAGGAAAGTGAAAGGTATATTAAGTACCATGTAACTTAGTCAAGAGATTTAGGAGTTTATATAGATCACATAACTCATATGTTCCACAAAGAACGTAATTTGATGATTTTAGTTCATATGATTATTGACGAAGTTGCTATAAACTTGTACCTGATTAACCATTTCAAAGTATTGTTTCAACTTAAAACTCTTGATTTTCCAGTATAATTTTTTCAAAAAAGATGTTTTTTAAATGAAATTATGGTGCTTGAAGCTTGTAAACTTTCTAAATCTTTTCCTTTGAATCCATATAAGATATTAAACATCTCCATGGTGTTGGGAATACCGAAGCTTCGATACCATTATTAGTTAGTAACTTCAAAGTTCTAATACCATAGACATCCAATTGATTTTTGCCCAGAAACTAAGCACAACAGATTCAATATGTTCAGTAATTTGCTTATATCCATGAAATAGACAGTATTACTGAACAAGAGAAACACCACAATTTACAATAATAATGGCGGACAAAGACCAAACATCATACCCACACTCTCTTGTAACTGTCTCGTCTTTCTCTACCACTCACATTTTACCAGCCGACAAAAGCTGCTACTCGTGTCGCTGCCACAATGGCAGAACCCCTTTGGCTCCCGTTGATACGTATGCTTCTGGTCTCAACACAACCTTTTATAGGCTTCAAAGTGGCACCTAGAATTCAACTAATGTAGGCTGCATTATTTCTTCATTAATGCACAGAATCGTGGTCAGCTGCAACTAACTCTTCAACTTAGTGGCCATAATTATTGCCACGTTTTTGCCCATTTCTTTTGTAGTTAGGTAACATTCAGCGCGTAACTCTTCTTTTTAGTCAAAATATGTAGCTCCCTCTTAAGACATCGTTTGCAAATAGGGCCTACATGCTATTTGGCAAAATTTTGAATTTTTTTATTTAAAACCCACCAAATTTAAGATGGATGAAAAGTTTGTAAACTGGGCCAAGTTAGGCTAAATTTTCAATGATTACGCTATATCTTGATCTGAAATCCATCTGTCTCAAAACTGAGGCCTCCATCATAGGGGCTAGATACTGAAGTTCAAATTAGAAATGGTATTCTTTTCTCAGACGTTTTGCTACGGATTTTTGTAGCACTGAAATCCTATGTTGTAAAACGACAATCCGCCTGCCAGTTAGATTTGAGACATGGTAGATTTGGAGTTTTAATTGATTTGAATTGGAAAAAAATTATTGGTGATTCGTAAAATAAGGTTGATTTGGAGTTTCTATAATTATATATTTTTCAGGTCTTGTTCAGGGATGGGCTGCCATAATCATGGGAATTTTATCTGGTAGTGTTCCATGGTTTACCATGATGATTGTTCACAAAAGATGGACACTACTGCAAAAAATTGATGACACACTAGGAGTGTTTCACACTCATGCTGTTGCTGGCCTTCTAGGGGGTGTTCTAACAGGCCTCTTTGCAGAACCTGAGCTCTGTGCACTATTTTTGCCGGTGACAAACTCAAGGGGCGGTGTCTATGGTGGTTCCGGTGGAATCCAAATACTCAAACAACTAGTTGGCGGTGCTTTCATTATTGGATGGAACGTTGTCGTTACATCAATTATTTGTGTAGTGATAAACTTTGTGATACCATTGAGAATGTCTGAGGAACAATTGCTTATTGGGGATGATGCTGTGCATGGTGAGGAGGCTTATGCATTGTGGGGTGATGGAGAAAAATATGATGCAACCAAGCATGGGGATATCACAGAACATAACATGGAAACGAGGACATCAACTGGTGCGACTCAAGTGATGTAGAGAAGGGGATCCACAAAATTAAATTAAGTGTTGTTTGATGATTAATTTGCTTCATAAATGTTCGAGGTAAATTAAGACTAAGTACTTAAATGTATTTCTTATTCCTATTTTTAATAGTTTTAATAAAATTATTAAACTCAGTTCAACTTATAGAAGTTTAAGTCATGAATTAAGGATATTAATCTAGCTTAAAATAATATATTTTTTAAAAAAATCAAATGACTTTTAACTAAGTCAATTGGTTAAGAAAATTATAAATGAAATAGAACACACTTATTAAAATTAAATCGAATTATAATTTTTGATATAAACACTTTAAAAATATAATTCAATATTTATATAATGTGTTTCATTGTGATTAATAAAAAAACAACTTAATAAAAACTAAATCACATGAATTAACTTCCATCGATTATAATTTAAGCTTAGATTAGGAATTTAATAGGTAAGTAAATGAGTTGATGTATTGGTTATATCAGGTTTAATAAGATAATATTTATTATTTAAATACCAAATTAATTAAAATTAAATTATGATTTCAACATAAAAAATTTAAAAATATAATTAAATATTCGGATAATATATTTCATTGTGATTATGAAAAAAAAAAAAACTTAATAAGAATCAAATCTCCAGTTACAAGTGGAGTAGATCACGTAGTTCAACTTCCACCCTTGTAAATTTAAAAGTCGGCCAAAGCATGGGATTTATTGGTTGCATTAAGTTTAATAATAATAAAATTTACTATTTAAGTACTAAATTAATTGAAATCAAACTATGGTTTCAAACATAAACATTTTGAAAGTATAGTTTGACGTTTATACAATGCATTTTATAAAAAAAAAAAAATTTATGGAAGATTATATCACACATGTTAACTTCTACTGGTTGTAATGTAAAATTCAGTCTGGTATGATCTCGAGATCTGACAGGTGGGTCAACAAGTTGACTTGTTGGATAGATTGGTTTTAATAACCATGGTATTTACTATTTAAATACCAAATTAAACAGGGAAAGGCCAAGAGGAATACGAGGTAAATTTTGCAAAGTCTGATACTAATCTCTTACCCTTAACATCGAATGCTAACTTTTGCACTTAACTAGGGGATGGTAACAATGTTATGAAACTTTTGTTGAATATTTTAGAATTATTATATTATACTATCACATATCAATAATGCTTAAGAATGTAGGTTGTGGTAATTTAAATACTAACACAGTGAAAAAAAATCTCAAATCAGCATAGTAATTAATACGTGCAGTAATATATGAGATGTGTTTGTGTATTTACTAGTTGTACATCTAGTGATTTTTTTTTTCTCCTTCAAATCTATATTTTCCCAACATATATTAGATTGGTGGTACGCAGAGCAGATTAAAAAAAAAATTCAAAAAACAATTATATTTTTAAAGAAATAAAAAAAAAACTTAATAACTAGGATTTAAATCTTGATTAATTTAATAATATAATAAAAAATAAGACAACATAAGAAATAAATTAAAAAATATATTGTATTTAGCAAAGCTAAACTAATATATAAAACTCGCAATCTAAAACATGAAATTAAAATAACCATATAAAAAGATGATACCATCCAAATCTATTGTAAATTGAAACCTTAAACTCTAGCCCATTGACTTGGATTATGTTAGGTTAGAGTAAATTTAAATTAATTATAATGTGAATAATATTTTTATCTCATATTAAGATGAAAATATATTAGATCTATTGAGATTGATATGTAAAACTTGTTGGGATAATTTTTAATTAAATCAACATTCAAGGACAAAACTAGTTAAAAACAACACTCAATTCAAAAAACACCATGCGATTTTCAGGTGAACAATTCAAACTTACGATGCAAGTCAACCACACATTTGAATTCAATAGTTTTTCATCCTAGAGATTATTTTTTATTTAATAGATTTATATGACAATAAAGTGTTTGTCAACCTTTTGCATGAAATATTTTTTTAAAAAGAAAAAAATCATAAAGAGCATGTGGGAATGAGAAAGCAAAGACAAATCATTGACAACAAAAGATAAAATTTTATTTATAAAATTTTTAATTTAAATAAAATAATAGTTTATTGATAAGGAAGGAATTGTATTTTAAAAAATTAAGGGACAAGAAAATGCATACAAAAAGAGAAAATAATAATAGCCTAGATGACATGGTTTAACCCATCAAAATTGTGATTCAGATCATTGATTTTAATTGGGTTCAATAATTTTATTTTTTTTATAATTTGTATCTAACTTTTATATATATATATATAAAGAGTTGAAAAAAAAAGCCTTGTAGTGCGACCTAATGACCCAACACCCTGGGAATTTAAAAAGAAAAGCCTTGGCATGTAGGTGTTCAAGCCCAGACTCATTATTTTTTTATTTTAAAAAATAAACGACTTGTTATATGTTTTTATTTTAAAAAAATAGGTAAATAACACATCACTCTATATGACAAACAACTTATTATCTGTCAATCTAGATTTCACTCATCATTGTAGTAACTGTAAAATCAAGGTTATAGGTTAAAAAACTTGTTTTTCAACTCATTTCACTAAAAAAAATCTTACAAGCACACTTAGAATACCAAGAAACTAATCTATCAATTTAATAAACCCCAAAAAATATTTCAAGCTACTAAATCAAACTAAAAAAAATATCACATCCTCTATTTACATATGATTTTTAGGTTATATGGAGACTTAAAATAATCACCATAATACTTTCATCACTTACTAAAACTCATTGACACCAATTTAATAATTTTGATAGTCAGAAAAAGGTATCAACAATGAACTCTCTCTATACTAAAATCCAGCAAAATCTCTCTATCCTCTAAAAAAAAAAAGGTAAAATAAAGTTAAAAGGATCACTTATTAAGTTAAAAAGAATGAGAATTGAAATAAAATTTGGTAACAAATTTGAATTTTAAAAAACCTAAGGAATTGATCAGCTATTAAATTAAAAAGATAAGGGACTAAACTAAAATTTTTAGATGAAATTAGAATATATCACCTATTTTGCTTGTGTTTTCCACATTAATTCTCTACTTATCAATTTCATCTTCTCATAAAAAAAATGATTGATTATTAATTTAGACCTAAAAAAGTTTAATTGTGCAAAATAAAAAATTAAGTGTCAAAATATTTTTTTTAAAAATTATTATTTTAATTTATAGTGATTTATCATAAAATAAACAATAAATAAATATACAATAAAATCACTATTTCTTTTAATATTTTTTTAATATGTGATAAGGTTAATATTCTACATAGAAGACACATTATGCATGGTAGAGGTTAAGAGGGTACTAAATTTTACAATAGTAAACTTTTATTTATTTATTATCAGATGAATTATTAAAAGGCAATCATTACCCCCATAAATTGGTGTTTTTTTATAAGATAATCGTGACCCTCCAAGCAATGTTACTGTTTTTTTTTTTATCTCAAACTACACACCAATTAATTTTTAATTTTCTTTCAGAATTATTACTAGCATTAATATTATTATTAATTTTTTCTATTTCCACTAACTTTTAATCCTTCAATATATAAATACATCAAGACAAGATACATTGCCTATGTCTACGTAACAGAAAAGGACTAAATTGATACTTTTGGAAACTATAGATCTAACATTAAGAAATATTATAGGGACTTAAGTGAACTCTTTCTGAAACTCTAGGTGCTAAAATATATTTTACCATTTACTTTAGATTAAAAAATTTAAAAAAACTATAAAAAGAGTCGTAGCGTTTTGTTAGATGAACATAAAATATCCGAAAATAATTTAACTTCCCTCACTCTCGGAATCGTAACAGAACTCGACTTCCCTTCCCGGTCTTCCCCACGACAAAACTCCTCCTCCGCCGCGCCGCCACGACGCCACAATTCTCCTCCTCCGACTCTACTTTCATCCTTACTCACTACACTAGAAAGATTAAAAAACATAAACCAAAGTTTCTTTCTTTTTAAGTTTATTGTCAGCAACATAAGAATTAGGGAAAATTCAGCAACAGTCCCATGAATGCACCAATTATTGGTCAGCTCTCTCTCTCTCTTTGCTTTTCTTTAGCTTATTTTATTTCTGGGTTTTCGTTTATGTGCTGAAATATTGTATTTTACTGTACTAATTTCGGCTAATGTTCTGGGTTTTTTTTCTTGAAAAGATCCACTGCAAGGGGATTTCCCAGAGGTAATAGAGGAGTATTTGCATCATGGGGTTACGAAGTGCATTGCTTTCAATCGCCGCGGCACGCTTCTTGCTGGTATGTGATTAGAGCTTTTTGTTCCTTAGTAATGTAGGTAGTAGTGGTTAGCTAGACTGCTAAGCTATTGTGGGTCTTGATTGCTTTTTATTAGTTTGATTGTTCTTGGTGTTTTCGTGATGGTTTTTTGCTACTATGCTTGTGTAAATTTTTTGTTTTATTTAGTTTTTGGAGATAATGTAGAGTTTTGTGTATAAGAGGAATTAAATTTCCAGGGAAGAATGCCGCAAGGTATTAATTTTGGGGTTTTATGAGTTTTATTGTTGATGTTAATGGTATTTTTAATGAACTATTTGATTTTGTCGAGGGTAGATGGATAGTAATGTCTTGTTTTTATTAATCTTCTTTGTGTGGGCTTAGATGAGCATGGTTTTAGTGGTTTGAATGGCAATAGAGGCGATATAATTTGTAGTTAATTGATTGTTATTATTAGTGGTTTCTAGTTAGGATACCATACATGGATTGGAGAAACTAGAAAGATTATTGTCTAATAATTTGGAGCGAACCTCTATTGTCTTTATCTGTGAAGCCTCTCCCTGTTAATCACTTAAGATTAGTTCAATCTTTTAGGCTCTTCACTTGTGTCTAGCCTATTGCAAATGGTTTCCTGAAAGCCTTGAAAAAACCATTCAAATGAGCAATTTTTCAGCTATGTCTCATGGATGTTATATGTGCTGTGGTACAAGGAACCACCAAAAGGTGTAGTGAGCATGGCTTTATCAGTAATGGCCTCCACCAAGAGTTGTAGTGAGCATGGATTTATCAGTAATGACCTATAAAGTTCTGTAGTACACACGGATTTTATGTTATAGTTGTGCGTGTCAATGGTGCTGAGCATAAGAAGAAGGTGAATTCCTGCAATAGATAAAG